TGTGAGTAGGAACGTCAAAAGTTTGAAGAAGGAGGGGAAGGGAACCAGCCTTGGGAAGGGCATCTGCCCAGGCTTCCTCTCTTATTCTGAGGGCTAGGCACATGAAAGAGCCTTGGGCAGGGAGGGTGCCAGCTGGCGGGCGGCTGCTGGACTGTGGAGTCAGAGGGCCCTGAGCAGGGCTGCTTTCTCTCTGATCCCACAGCTCATTATGCAGTCGACTCACTCGGCCTCCCTTCTGCTGTTTTCCTCCTTTCAGCACAGAGGAAGCCAACGCTGAAAGTGTTTTCTGCACGTCACATGAAGATTTCATCCTGGTTTACACAGCCGAAAATGGAATGCGGTTTGCTTTTCCGACTGGGTTTCTGTTAGGCTGAGTCTCTGTCGGGGTTAACCCCAGGAAGGGTCATGAGAGGTGTCACCTCCTGCTTTGTGTTGTTCTGTACCTTGTCACCTCTGCTTCCCCTTTGAGTCACATCTTGTTGGTTTCACTTCCAATTAAAAAACCGAGTGGCAGCCCAGAGTGCATGACCAGGAGCACTGGGAATGGCCGTGACATGGAAATTAAACACGTTTAAACTCTTCTGAAACAATAGAAAGTTGGATGCTTCCACACTCAATTTCTATTAGAGCAAATTAATTTAAAAATTCGTCACAACATGACGGTAATGGCAAGCTCAGCGCTAGGGCTTGGAAAACCACCTTTTGGTGGTGGCGGTGGGTGCATGGACGGTAATTCAAGACGCCATTGTCAACTTGATTACCCCCTCCCCTCACGTGGAACTAACCCCCACTCCCATCCCCACCCTGTTAGTCCTCTTCCCATTCTGTTTGATTTTCTCACACCTAGTCCTGGAACACAGAAAACTGTACAGCGTTCCCTTTTCATAGCTATAAAAGCTTAGCTCTGAGTCTAAGTGACGTGGCTGCCTAATAATACGGGACGAAAGCATGAATACCTAAAACTGGACTTGTACCCTGAGCTGTCACTTGTACATGCTACAAATGATGATGGGTTCCCTTTTTCACCTTCTCAAGGTAAACACTGAAGGATAGAAGTTTTCGTTGGTGTGTCCTTCGGAAAACAGCATATGCAGTTGAATAGCTGCCATTTCCCTTATTTTTCTGAATAAATTGTGTCTATCTCTCTGATGCTATCCTATACTCCCCCAAACCATACCCCAAAAGAATTCCCACTGCTGTGGCCTCCTCTCTGTTTCCTGGAAACATGCCAAGATCAACCACATTTCTTTATGGCCTTTGTTCCTCTCCCTATCTGGAATATCCCTCTCGTCAATACTCCCCTCCCATGTTTCCTGGATTCTTTGAGGTCCCTCCCTCAAAGGTATCATCCCTAATCATCCTATGTCAAAAGCTCACTTTAGGAGAATGGAATCAGTAAAATAACTACCGCATAACTAGGACGATTTGGTTCAGATCTCCACCTCCCATGCAAAATCTGGGTATGGTAGCATACTTCTATATTTCTAGTGCTGGGGACCAGTGGAGACAGGAGGTTCTTTGGGATTCAGTGGGTCAGACAGTAGAGCCAAATCAGTGAACTTCAGGTTCATTGAGAGGCCCTCACCCTCAAAAAATATGGAGAAGAACTGAGGAAGATAGACAACATTATCTTTTGGCCTCCAGTCACACATGTGTGCACACGCATGAACATGTGCATACTAACACACACATACTCACTTTTTTATCCCTTTCTCTCCATCCTTTTGTTGCGATATCATTACACTTATTGGCTGATCTGTCTCCTGTACGAGGATCCTAACTGTATGAGGGCAAGGACTTGTTGCTTCATTCTCGGTATGTTCTCAGTATTTAGGACAGTGGTTCTCAACCTTCCTAATGCCATGACCCTTTAATACAGTTCCTCATTTCGTGGTGACCCCCCAATGATAAAATTATTTTCACTGCTACTTCATAATTATAATTTTGCTACTGCTATGAATCATGTGATCCCTGTGGAAGAGGTTGCTGTAGAGCAATGGTTATCAATAAATATTTAGAGAATGAATAAACATATGTAGGGTTTGTTTGGTTATCAAGATATTTAACAGAGTGATAGGTAGTATCTGTAGTATAAAGAAAAAAGTTAAGGTGAGAAGGACTGTTCCATTCTTTACTAGTCATCACCTTGAAGGAGAAAGCATAAGAGGCCAAAGGATCAAGACAAAAAAGAGAAGGTGAGGTGCAGAATGAGATTTCTAAAACTTTGTCCCTTGACCACAGTTTGGAATCTATTTTATTAGTTCCCTTCAAAATAGCTATTATAGTAAATTGACTCCCAGTAATAATTAAATATTGAAAATGGGTAGAGCATGGCAGTACATGCCTTTAGTTCCGGCACTCAGGAATCAGGAACACTCATGGAAGCAGGCAGATCTCTATGAGTTCAAGGCCAGTCTGACCTACATAAAGAGTTACAGGCCAGCCAGAACTACATAGTTAGACTCTGTCTCAAAAATAAAAATGTTGAAAATACAAAGACACCTAGAAAATTCAAAAGGTCTTCTTTTCATTTCACTTGGAAGCAAAAAATGCAGAGCATTTTTTCTATCTTCCTTGCATCCCTTCAACAAATTCTGTGCCCCACCCCATATGATTCTAGACAGCTTTCAACCAAAGACCCCCCTTTTCTACTAAAGGGTGGACATGTGACCCTGGATGTCAGCATCCTTTAATTTGGGAGAGATTAAAGCACTGTCAATGCAGATCTATTTTCTTATGCAAAGTCTATGCAGGCTGGTGCTACATTTTCACCACATGAGAAAGGTCAGTTTATATAGATATTGTATCAAAAGAGATGTCAAGTTGAAAGACAAAGTCCTAATGAAGTCTGGCCATGTCTGAGGTTTACTCTATACCTTGTCTACCCAGACTTTTCAACTTACATGAGTCAATGAAGTATGTTTCCTTTAAGTAAGCTAGTCTAAGTTTTTAAGAGGCTGGACAAATACAGGATATGCAGAAACCACAAAAATCAAGCCAAGACAGCATTAGCAACAGAGCAAGAGAGTAGATAATATGTTGAAGAGTTTCCTGCATTCATAAATGAAAAGTCATTTTGCCATCAATCTCGATCCCAGGCTGGGGGAGCCATAGCACAAGCTCAGAGCTGAAGAAATCCCAAATACCACTGCTAGATAAGGAACAATGCAGGCATAGAAGTTCCAACATCGTTACTAGTCAGCAAGAAGAGACTCTTGTTCTGTCACTCAAGCTGGACAGTGAATGACTTTACACATGAAATTACTGAAAGGATGAATGGCGCTGGTTGGTCGGTGGAAGATTCATGGGCCACAGCAGAGGTAAAAAGAGCTCTATTAGAAAGAAGAGGGGATGGGGGGGAGAAGCCAGGCTCTGGCAGAGGGAACAGAGAAGAAACACAGGAAGAGAAGCGCAGAGAGATAGAGTGTGTGTGTGTCGGGGGGGGGGGGTCCATGTCTGGCTTTTTAAGGTGGTATGTAGTCTCCCGCTGATGACGTAAGGCACCAGACAAGACCCCCAGCTGTGCATGTACAGAATCCTAACAATTATCACCTTCCCAAACACAGGGGTTCAGAAATACTATTAGTACAAGTCAATTGAATTAACAAAAATAATTTGGCTGCTTGAACACAAAATTTTGAAACCTATTTTCATTGGAGACTGTCACGTTTCACCATTCAAATACTGGATGTGTGTCAATGTATATGTGTGTTGTATGTGTGTGTGTGTGTGTGTGTGTGTGTGTGTGTGTGAGAGAGAGAGAGAGAGAGAGAGAGAGAGAGAGAGAGAGAGAGAGAGAGATGAGATGAGATACAGGATTAATCATATGTCCTCAGTAACAAAAGAAATAGTTTTCAATGTATGAAACAGGGAGCCCTGCAAGGTTCAGAGATCTTTAAAGGAATTCCAGCAATACCATTCAGAAAATACAGCTATCCATCACAAAACATACATTATTGACATTATTATGAAATGGAATCTTTATTTTTAAAGTGATAATTATTACATATATTTACAAGTTCTCTATTTCAATCATTAAATTTAAAATATTAATGTATATAACCCAAATAGATAACAGGCCTTTGGATGTCAAACAATTTTTGAGAGTATGATGAACTCTTGAGAGCAAAAGATTTGAGAAGTGACATTATAGATTAGCTGACTGAAATTACACTTAGAAAAAAAAGTATAATAGCAGGATGTTGCATACATTTGCTATAAGACCTAAATTTTATAACTTTTTGAACTCTAAAAGTCATCATAATTATCCTCAGAAGGAGATTTTTATGGTGTTTTATTAAAACTGGTATTACATGATTTTATATTGCATCTTTCTGTGGGATGGTTCGTATGTCAAATTGCTCTGATTGGTCAATAAATAACACACTGATTGGCCAGTGGCTAGGCAGGAAGTATAGGCGGGACTAACAGAGAGGAGAAAAGAAAGAACAGGAAGGCAGAAGGAGTCACTGCCAGCTGCCACCATGACAAGCAGCATGTGAAGATGACGGTAAGCCACGAGCCACATGGCAAGGTATAGATTCATGGAAATGGATTAATTTAAGCTATAAAAACAGTTAGCAAGAAGCCTGCCACAGCCATACAGTTTGTAAGCAATATAAGTCTCTGTGTTTACTTGGTTGGGTCTGAGCGGCTGTGGGACTGAAGCTGTGAGCCTAAATCAGTCTTTCCTTGAGTCATTTCTCTTGTGTATTTGTCACAGTGGTGAAAGTTTGACTACTGCAGTGGACCTGGAATGGGGCCCAGAGTGCATTTCCAACAAGCTCCAGGGAACCCTGGGTCAGGGGTAAGGAAGGGATTCCTTGCATCACATAAAGTCAATGAAATTAAGTGACTTGTAGAATAGAACTTGGATGTTCATAAGAAACCAAAGTGGCTCAAATGTACATTCAAGTTTGAGAGTCCTGCTCTAGAGCCAGTTTCCATGAACAAATGTTACTGGTGTATAGGAAAGTTAGTCTAGTTATATTAAACAACTCTCCTCCAATAGTGGAATATAATCCAAATGTTTTTGAATGTATAAGAAAAAAGAGGAGACTCAGATTTTCTTCTAGACTATGTGGTAGTGTTCTACTTGAAGAAAGCTTTAGACAACTTGTGCAGTAACTCCAGAGTAACATCTACCAAAAGGGAATATATAGAAAAAGCTCAAAGGTCAGTTATAAAACATTTTATTAAAAAAAATTCTTCTGGTATCAGTGATGAGTCACAAAACATCATTTCAAGATTGTCAAGATAGTGAAAACATTCTCATGAAAATCATTCACTTCCTAGTAATGGGTCATCAGCAAATATCACACCAGCCATGCATCTGTTGGAAAGCTGACATGAGGTGGAGACTCAAAGACTAGATACTTTCTCCCCCAACCAGAGATGATGCAGTGGGGATGCACTCCCAGAACAGTGGGCAGACATTCTACAGGCACGTGAACAGAATACAGAAATCATCTGAAGGGAGTTAACAGATTCTTGTTGAAGGATCTTAGGAATGACAGTCTTGTGTTCTAAACAAAGGTGTTTTAATTCATGAGATTGCTGTCCAGTTTTGTTTTGGTTTTTTTAGTGACAGCATTCCCCAGCCTCAAAAAATACTATGTCTTTCCATTTTAATTTGTTTGTTGGTGAGTGGCTGAAGGGTTAAGGAAGATGTCCTGTTTGTCACAGGAGTAGTACAAACCAGAAAGAAGTGTTTGGGCACAAGGTAAAGATGTCGGTGTAAATAAAGAAAATAAAAGCATGTCTTTGTTAAAACAGTGATGAAAGTTCACGAATGGAAGCAAGAAAATTGAGCTTTCAAGAAGTGGTACCTACTCAAGCCGAGGAGAGAAGCACAATTCCATTTGGTTCTGAGCCTGGCCTGGCAGAATGGTGCCTTTCAAGGGCTCTTGAGCCTGGAGAGCACTTGCTGGCCCCGCATGAAGGCAGGGACCGGTCCATGCCCTTTGTTCATAGACTGGCTTCCTAAGCCTCCCAACTGAGTCACTGCCCTTTTTCTCGGTTCTCTTCATCTCTCAGCACCACCTCTCAGCCCCACACAATTATGTTTCTATCCATAGTCTTTCAGGCACATTCTTCTGGCTCTGAGCCTGGCCACTCATATCACCAGCTTTACTTCATTTATCCGGTGAACTCATGACCTTCATTGAGTAATGCCTCTCTTCATATCAACAGCCCCAGAATTATTTAGTTCGTAGCATCTAGTCTGTTTTTAAAAGCAAAGTCTTCACACTTGGGGTTTGCTCAGAGCAGACCGTGGTGTGCAGTGTGACCCTTATCCTTCAGATCATTTCAGCTATGTGTCCACTGGTCCTGCCACTTGAGCATGTCTCATGATGGGTCTTTTACTTTCTTTGCTCTTATAGAAAGTTTAAGTTCATCAACTATATACTACATGTTGATGGCAAAGTCCTGCTGAGTAAGAACCTATCTCAGTTGCACAGGCATAGACCTTGACCAGTATGTCCTCTAAAAAGAACAGAAATCGCCTGCTCTTCATGAAATAACACATATTCCCATATGGCCTGTACATTCTGCTCATTTACCCAGCTTAACACCAGATAGACAATGAAAGTTTGCTTAATACATGTGTCTTCTTCATACAGTTCAGATGACACACTTTGCGCTATATGCACTACATGGAGCAGAGCCACTATTAAGACATTCTCCTGTTGATATGTAGCCTTATAGACTTAACAATATTGAGCCTTGTTCATAGAATAAAGTAATGTCTGTGGTTTTTAAATGATTATATTATCATTCTATATGCATATTTCAAAAACTTGAAAATCTTTTAACATCAAAGAATTACAGTTTCACCTCCCAAAATATGAAATTTTATGTTCAGTAGACTGTTTTACACATACACATAGTTTCATGGGGCTTCGGCTTATTTTTAAGACAAAGTCAATCCCAAATGTGTTTTCTGTAAGAATCTGAGCCTTGTGCAGTTGTGTCTACTCTGTTGTGGAAATGAACAAAGACAGGATGACCAGACAGATCCTGTTACTTTTGGTTTCTCTAAGACTGAATATATTTATCTATCTTTAAATAATACAATGGTTGCAAGATGGCTGGAATGCCTAAAGTAATTGGAAGGTCTGTGTGTGATTAAAAAAAAAAAAAAACAATTTACTTTAACATTGTCTTGGAAGTCACTTGATTTCTTTGTTAATATTAATTTAGTTAATTGCTATAGCTAGCTCAAGAGATTGTTGATAGTTGAAAGTATTCTTATGATCCTTGAGTTTTCCCTGATATACTTACCTCATATCATGGGAAGATTTTCACGGTGGAAGGCATTGCTGACTGCCTCATTCACTTGGTCTTGCTCTGCCGGGAACTTTGAGTTAGAGAAAAACTAAAAGGTATTTGAGAACTCCAAAAACAACCCCATCCCTTTAAACATCTGCTATGTGCAGACACACTTACTGACAGTACACAGTGCTGTGGACAAGGCTTGACCACTGGACAAATTAAGAAACCGAGCCTCAGAAGTTCACCATGCAACTAGAAAGAGAAAAAATAAGTACTAATGTGGGTGCCACCAGCAAGCCGTCATGGAATACTGAGGTTCCCAGTTTGTGACAGCATTCCCTGTATGACATCTAGTCTAGCAGCAGACATATTGCTAATGTGATTTGTTTTGAAACCATCCTCCATCCATTTGTTTTTAACCTATATGTGTCTTTGTATATCAGAGGGGCTTTCTATAGACAGCAAACAGTGAGACTGTGTTTTTTATCCACACTGGCACATGTCTTTTAATTGATGCCTTTCAGGCTGCAGAAGGGTAAGGTGCGTGCCAGCACATCTAGATTAAGACTGTCCTGTCCACTGACATCTTCTATTTATGGATCTCATTCTTTGTTCTTACTTTTTCTTCTATTCTTCTTCTGCTTGGTGAGGTTGAAGTTGAGCATTTTATTTCACACAACTTTCTCTCTTAGTACAACAGTTAGACTTCTTTTTGCACTTTGTAAAGCTTGTAATGTGTACCTACAACCAACCAAGCCCATTTTCAAATAATACTACACCACTGCCATAGCACAAATACTTTATAATGGTGTATTCTTAATTCTTTATCCCATCATTCATATCATTGATATCATTCATTTTTACTTATACATAAGCTTATATAAGCACTGTAAGAATAATATGTGCCCACACAACCATATATGATCAAGTACATAGTTGCTATTATCATTTTTTTTAACAAACTATTGTAAGTTAGAGGTCAGTAAGAATGAAAGAAATAAGAGCTTTGTTTTTCTCCTACTTGTTCCCTCTTGATACTATTCCCTTCTTTCTTTGGGTCAGAACTGCCCACCTGTATGTTTTCCCTTCCCTCTGAAGATCTTGCTTTAATGTTTCTAGTTGTGTATCTACTGACAACACAGTTCTACAAGTTTTGTTGCCTGAAAAGGTTGTTATTTCTCCTTCAGGACTGAGGCGAATTCCACAGTGTCCAGGATTGTTGAGTTCTTTCTCTCTTAACATCAAATATTCACTCCATTCTTTTCATGCTTTCAAGGGTTCTCAAAATCCAGGTGCAACTGCTGTCTTCATCCCTCTGTGAGTAAGTGTTCTCTACCCTCAGGAATTGTTTTTCAAGAATATTTCTTTGCCTTTGACTTCTGCAACTGCAACATGGTACAAGTAGGTGCAGTGTGCCCCCACCCTTTGGGTTTTTGTTTGGGGGTCGTTTTGTTGCTTGCTTTTGTATTTATTCTGCTTAATGACCCTTACTCTAACTGGTTCTGTGGTTTGGTCTCTGATATTAATTTTGGGAAAACGATTAATAATTATTACTTCAATTACTGTTTCTATTCTCTTCTCCCTTTCTCTTCTTTTGATATATATATATATATATATATATATCTTTATATATATATATCTTTTGATATGTATATATATATCAAAAGATATGTATACATATCTTCTTTGATATACGTAGTCTTTATATTTGCAGTCCATAGGTAGTTGTTCCATCATTTTTGGTCCTCTTCTCTTTGGTCTTGGACTTTGGAAGTTTCTATTGACATAACCTAAATAAAGCTCAGAGATTCATTCCTCAGCTGTCGCAAGTCTAATTATTAGCCAACCAAGGTCATTCTTCATTTCAATCACAGTATTTTTTATCTCTAATATTTCCTTTTGATTCTCAGATTTTCCGTCTCTGTCAACATTATTCTTCTGTTTCCGCCTGTTCTTTACTTTATCCTCTACGGCCTGTATTAGTACTCTTCCCAATGCTATGACAGCATAGCTGACACAGGAAGCTAAGGAAGGAGAAGCTTCTGCTGGGGGCTCCTGGTTTGGGAGGATCAGTGTGTCATGGCAGGGGAATCTTGGTGGTAAGAGTGTAACATTGCTGGTTATGTTGTTTATATTTTCAGGAAGCTGAAAGACATGAATGTTGTGCCCACATGTCCATTCCAATTGTCTTCATCAGGGTTCTTAAAGGGATAAAACAAATACGACAGGTATCACCTATGAATTGAAAAATCTATTTTAAGAAAATAACTCCTCTGACTATGAGGACTGGTCTGAAATCCATGGGGCAGACAAGCAGGCAGCAAGAGTTAGTTTTGAGTCTGAAAATTACAGGATAAGAAAGTGGATTGCAAATCCAGGCAGAAGCTAATGCTTTAGTCTTGAGGAAAATAAAAAATATTGTCTTTTCCAGAAAACCTGTTTTTTCTTTCAAGTATTCAGTCAACAGATGAGTCTCACTCCTTTTATTAAAAATAACAAGGCCAATCAGATCTCTCAGTGGATAATAACAGTTGCCACCAAGCCTGATGATTTGTTTGATTCCTGAAAACACATTATAAAGGAGAGAAGCAAATTCTGTAAGCTTTCTTCTGACTTTCACATCCATTTCTTGGCATGTGTACACACACACACACACACATACACACACACACACACACACACACACACACACACCAAACAAACAAGCAAGCAAACAAACAAACAAATAAATAATAGCATTTCCCACTCTGGGGTAGCCTCTTCTTTGAAAAACAAAACAATAATCTACTTAACTTAGAATGCTCTGAAGCTATAACTACATGTACAAATATCTTCAAAGCAACAGCTAGATCAGAGTTTGATTATATAACCAGAACTAGACTCTAATCAAGTTAACACATAAAACTAACCACTGAGCAGACTGTAAATGAGAAGTTATCTACCTCTCCTTTTATGTATTAATTTTAGCTTCATGCTATCATATACACAATTGAGATTATGTTTTCTTAGTAAATATATACTAAACAGAAAGTAATGTGAGAGACATTCTATAAACACAGGTGTATTTTATGAAAGAGTAAAAGCTTCTATACTTAATAGATCCTGTGAGAACCTCAGGCTATTACTGTTTTAAGTCACAGTGGCTGGTAACTTTTTGACAAATTACCATTTTGAAAAACATAGGGTCAAATTTTAAAACTTGATATTTGAGGTCAGACAAGCAAGGTAAGACAATTTGCATATATGCCATATTTGTTGCAATTTTCTTTGTTTGGAGCTAGCAGGAAAACTGAATTACGTTTTCCATGACTATGGCAGGTGTTCTGGCCACAACATCCCACCACTTGTGCAGTCCTATCTTGATTTGCACGCACTCAGCAAGTAGCTGGCCACCAGCAGGGCAGCAGCTTGTATCTGTAACATGTGGAAAGAAGAAAGCAAATGATGATGGAGGAGACTTGCAACGCCACACACCATTCTCCACTTCTGATTTCAGATTCCTTTCTGAAAAACACATATTATGCTTTCCTAAAAATCTGGCTTGTATTAGTCAGGGTACTCTAGAGATGCAAAACCAGCACCGTGATATAGTAAAGAAAGAATTCACTCAATTAGCTTACATGGTGTGTTTAGAGTAATCTAATGATGTCTGGATCAGACAAAAGAAACTGAGGACCTGGTAGTTGCTCAGAATATGATACTGGTTGCCCCAGCAGTTCCACTAAGGATTCCTGGAGAGCCACTGGCCTTCAGACTATAGTCGAGGCCTGAAGAAGCTGTCTCTAACAAATTAAGTAGCATGCTACAACAGCAACACCAGAACAGATAAAGTCACAGTGAGAGTGAAACTCAAGGAAGCAAAATGGTGAAAGGCTTTTCTTCTTCCATGTCCCTTTATCTGGGCCACCACCTGAAGGTGCCACCCACACTTAGGGTGTGCCTTCCCACATCAGTCCAGGTAATAAAGACAACCCCCCCAGACATACCCACAAGTCAACCTGATGTAGATGATCCCTCATTGAGGCTGTCTTACTAGATGATTCTAGACTGTGTCAAGTTGATAATTAAAACTAATCATCATTGAATGATGCTTGTGGGGGCTCAAGACTGATGTCAGAAGTTTTGTTTCCCATTTGCTCTCCACCCTATTTATTGAGGACTATGGTGATGTATTGTGTACCCTGACAAACTTGCCTGAGGATCAGAGGACAGAGCCAGCCACTAGATTAGACATAGAAGTCAGGCAGTGGTGGCACACACCTTTAATCCCAGCACTTGAGATCTCATGCCTTTGCTTGGGAAGCACACACACCTTTAATCCCAGGAAGTAATATGGCAGGGCAGAGAAAGGTATATAAGGTGTGAGGAAACAGGAACTCACTCTCTTTAGGATTTTGTAGAGGTAAGAACTAGTGGCTGGCTGCTCTGCTTCTCTGATCTTTCAGCTTTCACCCTGATATCTGGCTCTGTTTTTTTTTTTATTATTATTATTAAAAGACCATCTAAGATTTGAACAACATCTAGCACCCAATGTGGGGCTTGAACCCATTACCCTGAGATTAAGAGACACATGCTCTACTGACTGAACTAGAACAACAACATCTAGCGTCCAACTTGTGGGGCACAAACCCACAAAAAAGCCGCTTACCCGTGGCCTTGCAGGCCCCAGCTCAGGCTAGAGCTATACACGGCCAGAACACACAACCGGAGTCTCCAACCCATGTGGGGCAGAGTCTCTAACCTGCTGACTAAGTTTCTATTGCAGCCTCTTCACAGCAAACTCCCCAGGCACAGGCTCCAAACATGCTGGAATTAGCTGCTTTTGCACGTTCCTCCATACAAACAGCTGGCTCTGTAGTTCTTCCCTTTCGGCTTTCTCTGGGCCTCATCCTCTGGCTGCTGCCACACCATCATCTGAATCATAGTTGTCAGCAGATTTGGTGGGTCAATTAAGATTTCTTAAAGGGAGGAATTAGTTAAAGAAAAGTTTTTTTCCCACATTAAAAAATAAGAAAAGTTTTTACAATGGAAGGCATTTGGTCTCTGTTTGACTATACATTAAACGGTCTGAAAATGGAACAATTAAATGAGAAGATAATTAATGTTGATTGGATGGATGTAATGTCAAATATAAATATTATTTGTTTGATCATATTTGTTTTATCATTTAAAAAGTTGGTTAATATGAGTGCCAAGATAAAAGTTTTAGAAGAACTTGTTAAAACAGATTATAAAGATATTGAGACCCAAACAGACCCAGATAAAAAAAATTGAAAGGTGAGCCAATCTCAGCATCACATTATATGGTTATAGAAAAACAGCTGAGGGCTTTCAAACAGCTAACTTTAATCTATCCAGTAACCTTACAGGAACTGCCAAATGTTCAAGGCGGTGTAAGAGCTGACTGGATTTCTGTGCAGATGTCATATTTGAGAAGATTCAAAGAAGCTATAGTGTCACATAGTATGCATTCCCCATTTGTGAAGCAGATGTTAAATTCGTGATCAACTTGTAATAGAATTATCCCTCAAGACTAGAAAGATTTGGTTACAACAGTCTTGGAGACTGGTCACAAATTACAATGGAGGACCTGGTGGAAGGATGAGGCTAAAAGCATTGAACAGTGAAATAGGGCTAGAGGTATGGAAATCTCCCAAGATCAACTTCTTGGAGAGGAAGAATATGCTAATGTAGAAAAGCAGTCTCTATATAATGACCAAGTCCTGCTTTATGCTGAATGGTATCCTTGAATGCTTGGGACAGAATTGAAGAAGTAGGAAAGAAAATTGAGTAATTATAAAAGTTACACAGGGCCCAAAAAAAACCATCACTGATTTCTTACAAAGGCTGATTTCACCAGTAAATAGAATGATACAAAATTCAGAAGCTAGAGAGATAATAATTATATCTCTGGCTTTTGAAAATGCTAGTGCACAAAGCAAAAGGGTAATTAGGCCATTGAAGGAAAGATCAGCACCCTTAGAGGAATGGATTCCAGAAGCAATGAATATTGAATCTCATGACCATGATGATACTTGGATAGAAGAGGTGATTTCCAGGGGATTGAAGAAAAATAGTAATGTCAGATGTTTCAATTGTGGTAAACAAGGTCACTTAATGAGGGACTGTAAACAGGGCATTCCTAGAAACAATGTTTTTCCAAGGAACAATGGCAACAGAATGCCCCTCCCTTCTGGATTATGCAGAAGGTATGGGAAAGGCAAACATTGGACTAACAAATGTAGATCAACAAGGGACAGACAAGGTAATCCTTTACATTTGCCATCAGGAAACTCCCTGAGGGGCCTCTCACAGGACCCCATGAAAATTCAGTTCAGTCTTTCCTGCCATCATAGAAGAAACCACTTCCCAGAGCAATTAAAGAATCTAATGCCTATTGTAAAAAACCATACTGTTCAGGGGGATAGAACAGATACAGAAGAGAGAACAAAAATTTGGGGAGAAACCATAAAGTGAATTTTTTGGCAAATTTCTATAAATGAACAAAGACCAAAATTAAAAATATGAATAAATGACATTCTCATTGAAGGTCTTGTAGACACAGGTTTGGATGTAACAATATTTGCACCAGAATTTTGGCATTCAAATTGGCCTCTTCAGGAGGTAAATGTTCAGCTTTTAGGGGTTGGAACATTGTCTCAAGTGAAACAGAGAGTGAGATGGGTTGAATGTATAGGGCCAGAAGGACAGAGAGGAAGTTAAAGCCATATGTAGCTAATATAGCTATGAATCTATGGGGCCATGATTTATTACAACAATAGAATAACCAGATTAACATTCCTTCAATCTCAGGAACAAATCATAATCTAACATATTTCTGGGAAAAATATTAGAAGGTATTATAAAGAACAGTCACCAACCATCCAGATTGTACAAGAACAGGGCATAACAACTGATGATCTTTCAAAGACACCAACAGCTCTACCTTTAAAATGGTTAACAGACAAGCCTGTAGGGGTTCAGCAATGGTCTTTAACAACAGAAAAACTGCAGGCATTAGAAGAGCTGGTACAAGAGCAGTTAAATGCATATTGAAGAATCAACCAGACCTTGAAATTCTCATGTATGTTTTAAAAGAAATATGATAAGTGGAGAATGGTAACAGATCTAAGAGCTATTAACAAGGTAATTCAACCAATGGGCTCTCAACAATCTGGAACTCCTTTGCCTTTTCTGTTACCTAAAGAATGGCATCTTATAGTTATAGATTTAGAAGACTGTTTCTTCTAAATACCCTTACAAGAAAAAGACAGAGAAAGATTTGCCTTCACTGTGCCTACTTATAATAATTCTTAGCCTGTTAGATATCAATGGAAGCTTCTTCCATAAGAAATGTTAAATAGTCCAACCCTGTGCTAATATTTTGTATGACAGTCATTGGAAGTAATACATAAATAATTTACTCAATCTATAGTTTATCATTACATGGACAATATTTTACTAGCTGATTCAAATGCAGATACTTTAGAAAGAATGTTGAAGAAGTAAAGAAAATTTTGCCTTGCTGGGGATTACAAATTGCTCCTGAAAAAATACAAAGAGGAGATTCTATTAATTATTTAGGATATAAAATAGAGCTACAAAAAATTAGACCCCAAAGGGTACAAATTAGGAGAGATCAGTTGCGGACTCTTAATGATTATTCAGAGACATTTCCCATCTATGGACCACTATTGTAAAAAAATAATGAACTGAGTAGTTTCTTCAAAACCTTAGAGGGTGACAAGGACTTAAATTGTCCAAGAGAATTATCAGGTGAAGCTGAGAGAGAATTGGCCTTGGTGGGAAAAAAAATACAGGATGCACATGTGGATCATTTGGATCCAAAGCTTGATTGTATTTTGCTTATTTTACCCTCTAGTTAGTCTCCAACAGGAGTTTTAATACAGAGGGAAGATATTATATTGGAATGGATATTTCTACCAAATAAACAGAGTGAAAAATAAAAAATTTATGTGGAAAAGATCTCTGAGTTGATTTTAAAAGTAAAATTGAGACTTTGTCAATTAGGAGAAATAGACCCAGCAGAAATTGTAGTGCTTTTAACTAATGATGAAGAAATTAACAAATTATGGGCAGAAAGTGAACTTTGGTAAATAGCTTGCAGTATTTTTTTGGGAGAAATTAAGAACAAATATCCCAAAAGCTTATAAACTTATAAAGAGCTCTAACTGGACCCTGCCTCACATTGTACAGGAAACACCAATATCTAGAGCCTCTACATATTATACAGATGCAAACCAAAAAGGAAAGGCAGGTTACAAATCAGAACATTTAAGTAAAGTGGTTCAAAGTCCTTATAAATCTGTCCAAAAATCAGAATTATATGCCATTCTGATGGTATTAATGGTTTTTATGGAACCTCTCAACATAGTTACTGTCAGTATGCCAAAAGAGCGATCTTACATATTGAAACTGCTGAATTTATCCCTGATGAGTTAGAATTAACTCTATTATTTATTCAATTATAATAAATAATCAGGAATAGGAATCATTCCTTATATATAATTCACATCTGATCCCCTATGGGTCTGCCAGGCCCTCTAGCACAAGGTAATGATGAGATTGATAAATTATTGATAGGAAATGTGCTGGAGGCCTCAGAATTTCATACAAAACAGTATGTCAATAGTAAGGGTTTAAAAAAGGATTTTTTTTTCATAACCTGGCAACAAGCCAAGGAAATGTCCTACTTATTCTTTATACAATCAAACTTCATTACCAGCAGGATGTAACCTAAATGGTACTCAGAGGAATAAAATCTGGCAGAAGGATGTGTTTCATTTTGTAGAATTTGGAAAATTAAAATATGTACACCACACCATTGATACCTATTCAGGATTTCAATGGGCAACAGCTCTAAGTTCTGAAAAGGCTGATTCTGGGTATAGTCTGGGCTGACATCCATGGTCTCTTAGTGTCTGCATTACATCTGTCCAGGTCCTTCTGGCTTTCAAAGTCTCCATTGAGAAATTGGGTGTTATTCTGATGGGTTTGCCTTTATAGGTTACTTGGCCTTTTTCCTTTGCTGCTCTTAATATTCTTTCTTTATTATGTATGTTTATTTGTTTAATTATTATGTGGCCAGGGGACTTTTTTGGGGGGTCTAGTCTGTTTGGTGTTCTATAGGCTTCTTATATCTTCATAGGCATTTCCTTCTTTAAGTTGGGAAAGTTTTCTTCTATGATTTTGTTGAATATATTTTCTGTGCCTTTGAGTTGGCATTCTCCTTCTTCTATCCCTATTATTCATAGGTTTGGTCTTTTCACGGTGTCCCAAATTTCTTGGACATTTTGGTTTATGACTTTGTTGGCTTTCGTGTTTTCTTTGACTGATGAATCTATTTCTTCTACTGTATCTTCAATGCCAGAAATCCTCTCTTCCATCTCTTACATTCTGTTGGTTATACTTGCATCTGAAGTTCCTGATCGTTTACTCAGATTTTCTATTTCCAGCATTCCCTCTGTTTGTGTCTTCTTCATTTTTTCTATTTCCTTGGACTGTTTCCTTTATTTGTTTCATTGCTTTTTCATGATTTTCTTTCAGTACTTTATTGTTTTCTTCCAGGACTTTATTGTTTTCTTCTAATTTGTTTGCCCTTTCCTCTAGCTGTTTATAGCATTCTTCCCATTTTTTTTGTCTTTTCCTCTACACAAGCCTCTATCTTCTTCATGATATTATTCATAAGGCTGATTTCTTCTGCTTCTTCCAATTTTTGATGTTCAGGTCTAGATGTTGGAGGCGGGCTAGGTTCTGGTGATGCTGTATTGCTCTTCATTTTGTTGTATGTACTTCTGTCTTGACGTCTGCCTGTCTCCTTGTGGTTCGTTCTTTGTCTTATCAGCCCACTTGGTTCAGACAGAGCTGACAGATCCAGGAAGTCTCTCTCTCTTGTCCAGATGGGAGCTCTCTTGTCCAAATGGGAACTCCGGGGCAGGATAGAAGCTTTTATCTAGACGGGAAGTCCGGGGCAGGATGGGAGCTCTTGTCCAGAAGGGAAGTCCGGGGCAGGATGGGAGCTGGGGGCTGGTCTCTAAGTCTCAGGAAGTGGCTGGGGTCTCAGGCAGATGGGCATGGGGGCAGGGCGTGGAGATTGCAGGGTCTGCCAGGGGTCTTGGAGAAGGGGATCCTTCCTGGTGGGGCTAGAAGGGAACCTGCCCTGTGGCCAGAACCTGGGGCCAAGTTGGGCAGGTCTTCCTGGGAGTGGCTGGTGCCCAGGGATAGGGTCTGGGATGGGCCCAGATACTCACCTCTGGTCCAGAAGGGAAGTCTGGGGCAGGATGGGCCTGATTCTGTAACCACTCATTTGCTAGAAGTTATAGCCATCATGGATATACCTGTACAAATAAAGTGACAATGCTCCAGCATATGTCTCTGGTAAAATGAAACAGTTTTTTTTTTTTTTTTTTTTTTTTTTCCTTTGAAGGTAAAAATTTTATTTTTGAGGAACTTGTTACTGCACATTTCAGAGAGAGCTATGTAAGAAAGCAAAAATGTTCTCCCCTCATCCTAGGAATAAATAAGGGCATAAAATTTTGTTTTAAATCATGACACTTGGAAGTTTAGCACCAGCATCCAAAATGAACAACAAAGGAAAAAGAGCATTTACTATATATTTCAGATTTCTTTGGTTGGGGTAATCCCCATGTGGTATTAATATTTCTTCTTTTAATTCATATTACCAAAACAGTAAAAACCAGGAAAAAAATATAAAGCTAGTGGTTGCTGAAACTGGGGAGGCCGCTCTCCTGCGCCTGTGCAGGTTCCCGGGATGCAGCTTGATGGACATTGCTGGCTCATTCCCTTTGTAGCTGTTAGTTTCGTAGAGAATAGCAGTAAACATTCTAATGTCCAAATCTTGGTTAGTCTTCCATTTTATTGCTTAGATGGTTCTTTGGTGTTGGTAAGGTCGTGGGTGTGCTTTTTGCCTTGTTTTTGAATTGTCATTAATTCTTAAGGTCACCCTGCTGGTGGTGAAGGTGCCTGGGGGCCAGGGTCACTCGGCGCTGCTCTGCTCGGTGGCTGGAGCTGGGTTCTCAGTTGATGCTTCACCTGCCTTGGTCTCTTTGCCATCTTGTGAAACAGTGTTCAGGGGACGGGGCCGGCGCCGATAGTTGTAGGGGCGTCGGAATCCACGGCGGGCAGACGGCTGGTTTGGACCATTGGCCGCTTGCTGATTCTCTTTATCTTCAGCCTCTCCAATCGCAGGGGCAGGTCGTGGGCGAGGAGGTCCCCTGCGGAACCTTGGGCGGTAAGTTGGATTCCGATGAACCTGGAGCTGTGCTCCTTCAGGGACTCCATCCTTCATCTCTCCAATCTCACCAGCATTACGGGGAGGCCCACGGCGTCTGCCATAGTAGCCGCGCCTGTAGCGGCGCCGATCAGCAGCGTAGCGACTCCCTTCTACAGGAACTCCGTCTGGGCCAGTCACGTTTGCTGCTTCAGCACCCTTTTCTCCTTCAACCACATCAAACTCCACCGTCTCTCCATCTCCCACACTGCGCAGATACTTGCGTGGATTATTCTTCTTGATGGCGGTCTGGTGTACAAACACATCTTCTTTGGTGTCATTTCGATTTATAAATCCATATCCATTTCTGACGTTGAACCATTTGACAGTGCCAAGGACTTTGGTGGCGAGAACTTTCTTCTCCGCGTCCTCGCTGCCCGCGGGGGCTGACGAGGCCGGGGCGGGCCCGGGGGCTGCGTCTCCACCGGGGCTCCCCGCGAGCAGCGCGGCG